CATAGTAACTTTTTCAGGTAGAGGAGCTGTTGAACCTTCGAACTTAAGTCCTCGATCCACCATTTCATCTACTTAGAAGGTCATTTTTCATGTATTTATTTAGCAAATCAACTAGAAAATTTACTACTTTCTTACCTCGTCCACAAACCCATCATGTGGGTATGATTATCAAGGAAACTGTCCCAGTTTCTCGTGTCATCCTCCTCCAACCCATCAACTAAGTTCATCACTGGTTTTTTACTTGCAGACCCACCAATGTCAGCGTCATCAGTTCTATCAATATTGTTATATCGTCATTTTTTGGAAATCCCTCCCATTAAATCATCAGGATTGTTGGGCTTGGGTTTTTTGCCTTCCTCTTTGCTTTGCGGAACCGTGAATGTGCCTCCTGCATTATCTGGATGGCCACACCTTACGTTGGGATGTATCCAGTTATAAATTTCATCCCGAAATCTTTATAACTGTGATTTCACCTCTTGTTGGATCCAGTCTTTCAACTCTTTGTTGTTATCTTCTATGTTTCTTGAATCATGCTCTTTACTAAGATCCAGCCTAGGACGAGATGGTCCACGCGGCGACTGACTCGAACTAGCAGGTTCATAACAATGTTTGTGAAACCCCTAGTGGATTTTCCACATGGTTTTTGAACACCTTTCACCTAAACCTTTGTAGTGGGTTTGATAGGTGGAAAGGTTGAATCACCACCGCTGAAATCTGTTGCTTTGAAGTTGTGGCCTTCCCGCATAAGACTAACTAAATGAGAAACTCAGGGGTCTTCTATTTCTTCCTCCCACTTTGGATCCCCACCTTCATCTGGGAGTGAAAATAATACAGCAACCTAACAACATTGAAAGTGAATGATAAAGAAGTTGTCAACAGTTTTTTCAAGTGACTTGTGCAAATTATAAAGGCGCGTATAATGTACGTATCTCAGAATCAGTTTTAACTTGAACGATGTCTTCAAAGATAAGAAGTGTATTTGTTGAGTTGAATCTGTCGGGATCTTCCAAGAAAGTTGTCTTCTTATTAGCTTCCGTAATTTTTTGGTAACAAAGCAAGATGGCTTTGAAAGACATCAATTGCAGCGCCAAAGGGAAACCATATCATGCATTTGTTTTTTGATTCAGACGTTTCCGCATTATCCCTAGGGATTTACCAACTTCAAAAGGCGAAGCAGGTTCAGGTGGTATCAATCAAGACAAAGTGCTGAGGAATGCCTCTTTTCCCCAACGATATTGAAGAAATGATTCGGTGTCTCCAAGCATTTCAACATACGCCGGCGTGTATCAGAGATGTTTATGACCACAGACTAGCAGAGCATCAACAACCGCAATGAGCACTAATGGCAGACGCTTCCACTAAGGAAGATTTGATTGTTCAAGCATTCTGAGAACTTCTGTTACAGTAACGTCTACATCTTCAGTCTCAAACCGCTCTTTCCACAAACGACCACCAGCTGTAACGTCTCCTGACGGTACATGGTTTTCAGCTTTTTCTACAAAAGGGTCAGATTTCAAGCCCGTGATGTCACAAAATTTACGGAGGGAAAACCGTAGTTGGGTATCTGCAAATAAGAACCACAACTCATATCTTAGAGGCGTCACCTGTTGACGGCTGAGGAGAGAATGTACGAATTTAGGAAAATTTGGGCAGCGCGAGACTGGATAGTGGAACAAAGCTCCAAAGTGACTTCCCAGCAGAGTGTTCAGTTCTGGTGTGCCTCAAAGAGACTTCACTAACGATCCTATGATTGTTGATTTTGAATAGATGTTGAGAACGTGGTTTACTTGAATGGCAATTATGCGTGAAAAGTTTATTCGGGGAGATTGAAAGAGATGCAACAATAATCTCTGTGTGGGACGATGTTCCGATAAACTTTGAGTCCAGAGGCATTCCCTCTACCTCGGTTGATGTAATGTATTCTGAAATCCAATAAGCAAAAGAGATCTTTCAAAAAACCCACTAGCGGAAATTTTGACTATGATGGCGAAGAATAACTTTCCCTGCATATCGCGGTGGAGGTTTAGCAGTCGATGTTAATTTTTAGGGTTTCAATTGAACGCCAGCTTGACTCCGAGTGACCCTCTTCAAGGCTTTATGACTATGCAATTGATAAACAATGAAGCAACATTAAATTTCACCAAGAATCGAATTTGTTGAATAAAGAATATTCCAATTAACTATGAATGTCTTCAATTCTTCTCAATTTGTTCTTACGCTTTTCTGGGTAGTATTCTCAACTTTAGCTAGGTCGATTGTAAATGGTCGATCTGAATTGATTACGGGATTTTCCCTTATTTCATTGAATTATATATGTGTTACAATATAATTTTTCAATCTCTTTTATTTTATAAAAATTTAATGATTTAATTGTAATCGAATTATGATTTTTTTAATTTAGAATGGTAAAGGTGTAAGTAATTTTACTGACAAAGATGTAAAAATACATATAGATATAAGTTTACATAGACAAGTCTCTAAAGTTGCTCAATTGGCAAATTTAAATTTGAGATCACCCAACCAGTAAATTACAAACTTAAAAGTCGCTCAATTCGCTAATTTAGAACATGATGTGAACTTTTTTTATGTTTTATATAAGGATTTTTAGTAATTTAAACCCCCAACTAAAGATTAATCGTAAAACAAACCCTCAACTAAAAATCTTGTGAAATAAACCCTCATCTTTATGTTCGTTAGTGTTTTCGCCCCTCCGTGACTTTTGTCGTCAACTTCTGACGGAGAAACGTTAAATGTTGACGAAAAGGTTACGGAGGGGCGAAAACATTAATGGACATAAAGATGAGGGTTTATTTCACAGGATTTTTAGTTGGGAGTTTATTTCACATGATTTTTAGTTGAGGGTTTGTTTTACGATATATCTTTGGTTGGGGGTTTAATTACTAAAAATCCTTTTTTTTTGAAAAAATCCTATAAGTATTGATTATTTAGTGATTTTAGGACCGGTTTTACTGTTAATACAAACTCACTTTTTTGTCAATGAGACCTCGCAGTCCTTGGGTAAATCTAACTTGTAGCTATTCTTGTTTTCATGTTTGCTCTTTCACAATAAAAAAACTTGTTTTTGAGATTAATTTTTGGTTTAGGTTTTGCATTAGTCAATTCGTACAAAGGAACAACCTAAGATCGAAGTTTAAAATTCAGGTATCCAATCTTCATATTGGTGAGGAATCCACATTAGCTCAGACAACAAATTATGTAGACCAATCTCCGTCAATTCGTTCTTTTTTCTCTAACAAATCATCTCAGTATGTCAATGCTATGGTAAAACCTACGTCAGCGTGTTCATCTTTCAGTGGTCGTCTGATAAGGACATTGACTTTAATGCCATTTTCAGTGGCTACATCACTCAAACCAGTCACTCATGCATTTCCATCCGACCCACCAACCAATCTTAGAAAAGACAAAAGGTAACTAAAATATAACTTGTCGTAATTTAAGTTATAGATATGTTAGAAGCGTTCACTGAACCACCATTCTACACATTAACTATGGTATTATTTCTGTATTTATTTATGTTTATGTTAAAATTAGTAAGTTCTCTTTTAGCATTGAGAAACTGAGATGATTTGTTAGAGAAGAAAGAACGAATTGACGGAGATTGGTCCACTTAATTTGTTGTCTGAACTAATGTGGATTCCTCACCAAAATGAAGATCGGATACATGAATTTTAAACTTTGGTCTTAGGTTGTTCCTTTGTACGAATTGACTAATGCAAAACCTAAACCAAACATTAATCTCAAAAACAAGTTTTTTTTTTGTGAAAGAGCGAACATGAAAACAAGAATAGCTACAAGTTAGATTTACCCTCCTTCGAGGTCTCATTGACAAAGAAAAGTGAGTTTGTTTTAACAGTAAAATCGGTCATAAAATTACTAAATAATCAATACTTATAGGATTTTCTCAAAAAAAAAAGGATTTTTAATAATTTAAACCCTCAACTAAAGATAAATCGTAAAACAAACCCTCAACTAAAAATCCTGTGAAATAAACCCTCAACTAAAAATTATGTGAAATAAACCCTATCTTTATGTAATGTTTGTGCCCCTCCATAACCTTTTCGTCAACAGTTAACGTTTCTCCGTCAAAAGTTGACGACAAAAGTTACGGAGGGGCGAAAACATTAACGGACTCAAAGATGAGGGTTTATTTTACAAGATTTTTAGTTGAGAGTTTATTTTACGATTAATCGAGGGTTTAAATTACTAAAATAGTTCAAATGATGGGCCAAGCCCATTAAATATTTGTCGTCCAGTACGTTCGCTTATGGTACGTTAGAGCATCTCCAACCCCACTCCATAATTTACTGCAAAATGGAGTGGAGAATGGAATAATGAAGAAACAAAAATCTGATTACTCCATATAATATGGAGTAATCACTTTTTTGTTTCTTCATCACTCCATTTCCCACTCCATTTTGCAGTAAATTATGGAGTGGGGTTGGAGATGCTCTTAATCTCCATCTCTCTCACACCTCAGTTCATCTCTTCCCTGCAGCTTATGGTTTAGGGTTTCCACAGTCGCCATGTATCGCACTGCAGCTTCACGGGTTAGGTCTCTCAAGGTTTGTTACCTCTTCTTTCTTTGATTCTCTCTTGCTCGCTTATGGGACGTTCGAATGTGGAAGCGATTTTACTGATTCGCTCCCACATCCTCGGAATATCAATAGATCTGAATTTGGATTGTTCTTATTCCGATTGCGATTGAAAGCACTGTTATTACTGCTTAGTTTTTTTTATGAGTGATCGAGTCTTTTGACTTTTGATTAAAGTGAAATGGATTTGCCTCAGTTGTTGTAAATTAGCCGACTCATTCCTCGAGTTTCCATTGATTGATTCTTGTTCTATAATAAGGATCTCTTAGCCGGAGTTTGAGACATGCGCGTTATGCAAGTTCTAGTGCTGTTGCGACTAGTTCTTCTTCTCCAGGTTTCTTCAGCTGGTTGACTGGTGGATCCTCTACTTCGCTTACTTCATTGGACATGCCACTCAATGGTGTATCCCTTCCTCTGCCTCTTGCTGACCACGTTGAGCCAAGTAAACTTAAGATCACTACTCTTCCTAATGGTCTCAAAATCGCCTCTGAGATGTCTCCCGTAAGTAAAAAAGCTTATGTTATGTCCTCAGGTAATCTATTAAAATGAACTGAAACAAAGTTATTATCTTGGTGGTTCAGCATCCGGCAGCTTCCATTGGTTTGTATGTTGATTGTGGTTCTATCTACGAAGCTCCTTATTTCCATGGAGCAACCCATTTGCTTGGGAGGAGGGCTTTCAAGAGCACCAGTAACAGGAGCCATCTACGTCTTGTGAGGGAGATTGAGGCTATTGGAGGCAACACCTCGGCTTCTGCATCTCGGGAGCAAATGAGTTACACTATTGAAGCTCTGAAGACCTATGTCCCCGAAATGGTTGAAGTTCTTATTGACAGTGTGAGGAACCCTGCTTTCTTGGATTGGGAAGTCAATGAAGAGGTATATCTCATTTTCCGCTTGTTGTTATTTTGATAGCTCTTGTGAAAATTTTAAGTGACTTATTGTCTTGTGTCGATTTGGCAGCTAAGTAAGATGAAGCTAGAGATTGCGGAACTTGCAAAGAACTCTATGGGGCTCCTCATGGAGGCTGTTCATCCTGCTGGTTATTCAGGTGCTTTGGCGAGTCCTCTGTACGTGCCTGAGTCTGCGTTGGACAGATTGAGTGGGGAGCTCTTGGAGGAGTTTATGGCTGTAAGACCGCATCAACTATTTGGAAACTCTGTGATTATAGTCGTTTACTTAAAGTTAGAACATTTTTTTCTAATCATTTTATATGGGAATTTCAGGAGAATTTCACTGCTGCACGTATGGTACTGGCGGCAAGTAGAGTTGAACACGAGGAACTTTTAAAAGTTGTTGAGCCACTAACTTCTGACCTTGTTAATGTACAGCGCAAGGGTGAGCCAAAATCTCAGTATAGAGGTGGAGATTTCCGCCAACATACTGGTGGGGAGGTACTCATGAAAAATTGGCGCCATGTCACTGGACAAACGTGTTTGAAATAAAAGTGTATTTAATTGAGCTTAATCGAGCTTTGTTTGTTCTGTCATTTTAAGGCTACACACTTTGCGCTTGCCTTTGAGGTTCCTGGCTGGAATAACGAGAAATAAGCAGTCATCGCCACTGTTCTCCAGGTGTCTAACTTGAATGTTTAATGTTTGCTTCGTTTTAATAGTTCACTTGTTCAATCAGATTCTATTTATCTGCAGACTCAATTTAATTTAAATTTAATTGCTATTAGATGCTTATGGGAGGAGGTGGCTCATTCTCTGCGGGAGGTCCTGGAAAAGGAATGCACTCATGGCTCTGTAAGTCAAATCTTGTGTTTCTGCTACCTTATTGAGCTTTCTATTTTTTGAACGAGTTCATGAAACATGCTCAAGAACTGCTATAAGCAATCAGTAATATTGATAAATGTTCCTATGTCTGGTTACAGATCTCCGTATTCTAAACGAATATCAGCAAGTTCAGTCCTGCACAGCATTCAGTAGCATCTTTAACAACACCGGATTGTTTGGAATCTATGGTTGCTCGGTAAGTTTCAGCATTCCTGATGTTCCTTAATATACTTTTGCTTATATCAGTTATCTTGTCTCATTGATGATAGAAATATATTAAACGATACCAATTTGTGCGAGTATTAATGCCTTAAATATCGATTTTGTGGGGTGGTTAGCTTTGTCCAGTTTTTGTGAGCTGACAATTTCTTTGCTTGACGTGTTGTGGTACATATACATATGATTACATCCTTGAATGCAGAGTCCCGAGTTTACTGAAAAAGCAATTGAATTAGCAGCTAAAGAATTGAAAGATGTTGCCGGAGGAAAAGGTTTGCAGTTTGCTTCATCCTTTTTCACTTGACATTCAAAACCATTTTCTACATGTAGAACTTTACCCTTTGTTATATGTTTGACAGTTAACCAGAAGCATCTTGATCGCGCCAAGGCAGCCACAAAATCTGCAGTTCTGATGAATTTGGAAGCGTGTTAGCATTTCGTTATTTCGAGACTCAAATAATTAGATGTTACTTACGAGTAATTTGTGTCTTGTGCAGATGATTGCAGCAGAAGATATTGGCAGGCAGATACTTACATACAGAGAGAGGTACAGAGAAAATATAATTCAGAAATTATTCACTTGATCTTAAGAGTTTTGTTCTTCTTGCGTATCAGTGTTTTATATGAAAATATTCTTGCAGGAAACCAGTTGAGCAATTCTTGAAGACAGTAGATGGATTTACCTTGAAAGACATTACAGATTTCACCAGCAAGATTATCTCAAAGCCCTTGACAATGGGTTCCTTCGGAGATGGTAAACAAGTTTTCACCTTTACGTATTGATTTTGCATATATGCTTTTTAATGTCATAGAAATAAAAACAAAGATCTGGTGTCTTAAAAGTAGCGTCTGGTTCTTTTTTGGGCAGTGTTGTCTGTTCCTAGCTACGACACCGTAAGCAACAACTTTTCTTAAAGAGGCAAACAATTTTGCAGCGATATTTTGGGACTTGTGTGAAATAAAGAAGGGTCTTTGGGAGAAAAAGAAGACTAGACCAATTTTAGTTTCTTTTTACGAAATGGATTTTGTTGCTATATACAGTTGAAAAGGCTGACTTTTTCATGTATGTCTCTCCAAATTTGAAGAAGTATTTGTATTCCAATAAGTATTATTTGCTAACTTCATGCAGACAATTTGTACTTACTTGGATCTACCAAATGATAAGAATGCCTCTGAGATTCAATCATAAACATCTCTGTCTCGTTTGTATGTTACCTCACCCCTCACCACCCAGCCCCCACATGCTATTTCTGTTTGGGGGCTAATTTTCTTTGTGTATCTGATAAGACAAATGGATGATTCCTTCATTGTATTGATAAAGTCTAATTAGAAGAGGATCTTTCTAACAGGATGTCATTTTTACGTTAGAAGTTCAATTCTTTTTTACTGGTTGGAACAGAATAAGCATGTGAATATGAATTGGCCTACCATATTTGGTCCTAGTAGCTAGGGAAACAATGGTGACGGTTGGCCGTAATTTGTGTCAAGGAGAAGCTAACAGTAAAGACGGACTTGTTTATACCTATGGTTGTTGATCTATAACTCTTGTTCTATATCTAAAAGAGACAAAACGTTAAATCCCCCTCTCTGAAGAAAGAACTCCAGTAAAATAACCAAATGCTTTTTTTTCTGTGCGAAAAATAATCAAATGCTTAAAACAGTTTTTTTATTCTATTCTTGTATTCGCACGTTTATTTGTTGGTTTATCAAACTTGGAATATATGTCATTTGAAGAACTAGTGGAATGATCACACCTCGAACCGTTTCAGGTTCTAGTTCAGAAGTAGAGATCCCTGAGCCGACGAATATAGCATAGATGGATTGTTTGATAAACTTCAAGACTTGATCTGGTAGAAGATTATGAGTGGACTCGTATGCTGCTACACTGTCGTGACGCAAAGAAGTGAAAACTGGGAATAAGTGGACAAGAAGCAATTATAGGCCCATTTACGCCAACCCAGGCCCATTTAAAATAAAAACGTCATCTACAATGAGGTTTCCTACTCGAGAGAAGTCGTTTCCTTCTCCGCCGCAAACATGAGGCCTCTTCGCCGGCGTTTCTTTATCCCCATCAATGTAATTTCCATATCCAACTGGCGTAGATACGCCACCAAGTATGTCGCCAAGGTCACTTCATCATCTCCCTCTGGCCGATCAGTCTCCGCCGAAGTTTCCCTTCCTAATCCCCTCCCGGCCGACGTACGTGGCTACCCTCTTCCTCGCCGAGATCTCATCTGCCGAGTAACCAATCTCCTTCTCCGCCACGTAACCTCTTCTAATCTCTCCGATGCTTTCTCCGACCTCTCTGATTACTTCTCCTCCCTCTCACTCTCCCTCACTCCCGACGAAGCTTCAGAGATTCTCAAATCCCTAAACTGCCCTCGCCTTGCCGTCGCGTTCTTCCACTTCGTCCCCTCCGTGTGCCCTAGCTCTTACCACGACCCGTTCCTCTACAACCGCATCATCTTAATCCTTTCCAAATCTAACCTCCCCGACAGATTCGATCGCGTCCGTTCGATTCTCGATCTGATGGTGAAGACTAACGTACGTGGCAACATCTCCACCGTTAATATCTTAATCGGTTTCTTCGGGAATGCGGAAGATTTACAGACGTGCTTAGGGTTGGTGAAGAAGTGGGAGTTAAAGATGAACTCTTTCACCTACAAGTGTCTCCTTCAAGCTTACTTAAGGTCTCGTGATTCTTTAAAGGCATTCGATGTGTATTGCGAGATTAGGAGAGGAGGGCTTAAGCTCGACGTCTTCGCTTACAATATGCTAATTGATGCTTTAGCTAAAGATGAAAAGGTACTTTTAGTAAAATGTAGTGAGAAATGGAATGATGAACAAAAAAAGTAAAATATTACTCTTTTTTCAACTCCATTTTAGAGTAAATTATAGAGTGGGGATGGAGATGCTGCCTAAGTTGAGTTTCACGTAGGCCTGGGCGTTCCGTTTTCTGTTTTTCTTTCGGGTTTATGGGAATATAGCAATCGTTTGGGGTTTTATAAATTTCAATTTGATTTCGGTTAGTTTCTAGTAAATGTATTGGGAACTGGCTTGTACCCAAAAAAAAAATAGAGTCGTTTGGTTCTTATTTTTTTTAGTAATTTCGGATAATTCCAAAAAAGATTAGGTGATTCGAGGCTTTAGATAAACTCTCGTCTAATTTAAGATGTTTGAATTTAAATATGAGTAATTTGGATAAATGCATATAACTTGAATAAAAATTCTCTGGTAATTTGGTCTTTTTAAAAAACAATTTGGTTTATATATTGATATTTTACATATATAGTTATTTTAAAACTTGTTGACAAAAATAAAAAGTTATTTTAAAAGTTAAAAAAAAAGTAAATATAACTAATGTTTTTAGATATATGAATTGTATTTGGATCTAAGCTAGATGGGTAGTTGACAAAAAAAAAAAAAAAAGAATTGTATTTGGATATTTGGGTAGCTGTTTGGTTTCCATTTCCAAGTTTTCTTTTTGGGTTTAAAGAAATAGGAATTGGTCGCGGTTTTTGTGAGTTTTGGTCTTGTTTTGATTGGTTTTGGATAAAATGCCCAACTTTGTTTCATGTATAAAGGTAAAATGTAAAATGTACTTCCTTTTTGTCAGATTGATCAGACTTGTCAAGTTTTCGAAGACATGAAGAAAAAGCATTGTAGAAGAGATGAGTATTCCTACACGATCATGATCAGGACAATGGGAAGGCTTGGGAAATATAACGAAGCTGTTACTCTGTTCAATAAGATGATAATTGAAGGACTTACTCTTAACGTGGTTGGTTACAATACTCTTATGCAAGTTCTTGCAAAAGGCAAGATGGTTGATAAGGCTATTCAGGTTTTCTCCAGGATGGTTGAAACGGGTTGTCGACCAAATGAGTATACGTACAGTCTGGTTTTGAATCTTTTAGTAGCTGAAGGTCAGCTTGTAAAGTTGGATGCGATTGTGGAGATGTCCAAGAGGTATATGACTCAGGGGATTTACTCTTATTTGGTTAGAACGCTGAGTAAACTAGGGCATGTAAGTGAGGCTCACCGACTGTTTTGTGATATGTGGAGCTTCCCTGTGAAAGGAGAGAGAGATAGTTACATGTCGATGCTAGAGAGTTTATGCGGTGCGGGTAAAACAGTTGAAGCCATAGAGATGTTGAGCAAGATTCATGAGAAAGGTGTGATTACAGATACTATGATGTACAACACTGTCTTCTCTGCGCTTGGGAAGCAAAAGCAAGTATCTCATATTCATGATCTATTTGAAAAAATGAAAAAGG